CTGACATATGCTGTGTGTAATAGCGTTTTGGTATAATTATATTTATGTAGACCTCTTCTTCAGTCAAGATTATTATCGACATGAAACTGGCCAACTGTAATTACTTAACCATGAAAACGAGGTCACAGCATCCTTTGGACCTACCTTTTTTAATGGTTTATATCTTGCATATGTGATGATACGTTTATTTGGAACTCTGAAAACTAAAACTCACCCGACAACATGGTATCAGTGTCTATTGACCAATGGGTACGGCCAGTAGCCTGTTAAATTAGTACAGGAGATGTGAGTGCTTAGCATACGCATCATGTTGAAATATAATACGTAAATGTGATCTGGTCTACAATGAAATAAAAGCCAAATTTATATTTTGTCGTACGTTTCAGCAACAAACTTGTTGGTATCCAAATTACTTTATTTTAAATTTTCTACGCCTTAACTATGACAAATCAACTATTAAATTGAGACCAAAACATCATTTTGACATTATTATGTAAATATAAATAAGAAAATGTGGTATGAGTGCCAATGAGACAACTCTCCATCCAAGACACAATGTATAAAAAGTTAACAATTATAGGTCAAAGTACGGCCTTCAACACGGAGCATTGGCTCACACCGAACAACAAGCTATAAAGGGCCCCAAAATGACTAATGTTAAACAATTCAAAAAGGAAAACCAACGGTCTAATCTACATAAAAAACGAGAAACGAGAAACACATATGAACCACACCAACAAACGACAACCACTGAACAACAGGCTCCTGACTTAGGACAGGTGCATAAAAATGCAGCGGGTTAAAACGTTTTTACAGGCGCCAACCTTCACCATAACCTGTGACAGAGCGTAACATTACAACATAAAAAGACACACTATAAAATATCAATTGAAATGGCTTAACTCGATCAAAAGGACATTAAACAAAAACAAGTAAATACAATGTAGTTCATATTTTGATATATTCAATGGTATACATGTAGTAGCATGTTGAAAAACACACATGTTTCACGACAAAATATCGTAAACCAAAACGATATCCTAAATCCACCTACTCTTAAATCGTGATCAATCAACCTGAGAATTGTGGATAACCTATTCTGCTGAAGATTACATTTTAATGTAGTTGCAGATGAAATCACGGCATATCTCGTTATATAAATAACCTGAACTGGAAAAGTAAATCACATAATTGTTTCATTAACAATTTAAAAATCGTGATCATTCAGTCATAATATAAATTAATCATTTCACAATAAATACAAATTTTAATTTTACATTGTCATCATCTCTGAGAAACTTTGTTTAATGGCGATATCACATATATGAAAATTTAGTATCATGACATTAATCGATAACCACAATGTTTGTCAATCCTAAAATTGTGAAAATTCATCCATGAGATTTAGGAAATACTATCTCTTTGATATGAAACTAACGTTTCCATTTCATGTTTTTCGTTTCATGTTATTCATTTTATCAAAGTTTTACTGCTTTCAATCTAAAAAAATCGTAAGGGTTCCGCGGAACCCAGTGTCTTGCCTACTTTTGCTGTTAGTCGCAGGCTCAACAAAAATGGGAAAAAAAATATTAAAAATGTTCCTCTAGATACTATCTTTTGATTGCAAGAAGCTTCTATCCAAGTTTGGTAAAAATCCAGGATGGTTTATGAATCTAATTAATGTTATAAAAACTTTAACTGCAGACTGTATGTAATGTTAACTGGAAGAAAAACTAAGTCCATTTATAAGTAATATACGGAAAAACAGGAAATAGATTTTTACAAAATTTCCTTCTAGATACTAGCTTTTGATCATAAGCAAGCTTCTGTCCAAGTTTGGTACAAATCCAGGATAGTTTAAGAAAGTTATTAAAATTTTAAAAACTTTAACCACAGAGTGAATGTAATGTTAACTGACAGAAAAACTAAGTCCATTTATAAGTAAAATACGGATAAACAGGATTTTTTTTTACAAAATTTACTTCTGGATACTATCTTATGATCATAAACAAGCTTCTGTCCAAGTTTGGTAGAAATCCAGGATAGTTTAAGAAAGTTATTAAAATTTCAAAAACTTTAACCACAGAGTGAATATTTGTGGACGCCACCGACGACGCCAACGACGGAATGTAGGATCGCTATATGTCTCGCTAATGCGACAAAAGTCGCAGGCTCGACAAAAATCATCCATGAATGGGACCTAATAACATTATAGTGTTCTATTAGGTCTCTGTCCTTGAAAAAGAGGTCACACCAGCTATTAATTCTTGACTTAACAAAATACTGCGCCCTGTGTTGATGTAACATTTGAACGAGTCATGTGCTCTGTACACGTTAACTTTTTAAAATCTGAAATACACCACAAAATTTTTTAACCCAACTGCGTGACCTGAAAAACTCGTTTATATTATTTATGGTCAAACTGGACTCCCTGCCGTATCCTTTAACTGATCTTAACTAACAAGGTCATTATGCCTTTTTGACTGATTTTTCAAGCATCTTGCTGTAGTTCCATGTACCTTATCCATGCCTTCATAATTTCATCATGTATCCCATGGACATATGAAAATAATTATCAAAATCCTCATCCCTTTGCTCAACGTATCACGATGACGTCGACTGTTACCCAACGAAACGCAAAAATGACGGGATATAACGTCGTCTAAAACAAACACATTGATGGAAAGATAACGATTTGAATCAGACACGACACTTTGATAATGTTATAGCTACTCATCATGCTTTAAAGCAATTAATATTGTGAGGGAACCAAAAACTTAATTTGAATAAATGATGTTGGGTACAAGTCAATAAGCCAAGCACCCAAGCGACAAAAAAAAAACCGGAAAATTTCTAACCATAGTTAAAGACCATTTTTTTTAATATCTATATTAGACCATCCTTTTGATAATTTATAGGATGCTTTCTTTAGTAAGTTAGTGTGATATTAAATCTGCCTAACATTAAGCTACTTGGGAACGCGAACTTAACCATGACCGCTGAAGTATAAAATCAAGGTCATACCATCCTTTAATATCTTTGTATTGTGTGGTGAAGATGCATTGTGATATCACATCTGTTTTGCTGACCGTAACTTTTTTGATAAACCCGTCTGCAATCGATATTGTTGTCTTGCATAGAACTTATGAATGAGCATTTCCAGCAAAATGTATTTATAGTGGAGAAAATATAACTACACAAGCAGACATGAACCACCTTGGAACAAATACCACTACAAATTCAAAATTGAACCTATCTGAAAATACTTCACAATTTATGCAAACATGATCATAAATTAATCTTCCGGGGCAGTGTTGTCAAGACCAAAGTGCATCTACAGAGTCGGATGGCTTATTGCACAGGTGGAAGCGAGCCTATCTCAACAGACAATTGCACTGCATAAATAATAAAATGCTCCGCTGGGCACAGCTTGATACGACCGCAGAGGTCGAACCCTGAACAGTTGGGACAAGTATGGACACAACATTCAAGCTTGATACAGCACTGAATTTGGATTGTGATTAAATATTTGACACAGCATAGGTTTCTGACACAGAATGAATGTGGTCTAAGAACTTAAAATTTTTTGATTTGCCTATTCAAACCATATCATTATTATTTGCTTTTATATATAAATCAGAAATAACCAATTTAAAATGGAAAATTTTAAAGAAAAAAAAGGGGAAAAAAATCCCCCCCCCAAATTTTTTGAACCCCCTTATGATTCACCACCCCCAAACTCAATCCCAGCCTTCCCTTTGAGGTATGGTACCTGCAGTACAATTTCAGAGGGATTCATACACTTGAACACAAGTTATTGTTAGGAAACTAGAAAAATGCTTGTTTTTTGGCCTCAAATTCCTAAACGTTTAGGGCAATTACCCCCAAACTCAAACCCAGCTTTCCCTTTGTGATATGGAACCTTGTAGTACAATTTCATAAAGATCCAAACACTTACACACGAGTTATGGTCCTGAAACTAGAAAAATGCTTGTTTTTTGCCCCTTTTTTTGCCCCTAATTCCTAAAATTTTGAAGCAATTACCCCCAAAATCATTCCCAGCCTTCCCTTTGTGGTATGGTACCTTGCAGTACAATTTCAGAGAGATCCATACACTTGAACACAAGTTATTGTCATGAAACTAGAAAAATGCTTGTTTTTTGTGTCTTTTTTTGGCCCCTTATTCCTAATATTTTGAGGCAATTAACCCCAAAATCAATCCCAGCATTCCCTGTGTGATATGGAACCTTGTGGTACAATGTCAGAGAGATCCATACACTAACACACAAGTTATGTCTGGAAGTTACAAAAATGCTTATTTTTGGCCCCTTGTTCCTTAACTGTTGGTACCATAACCCCCAAAATCAATCCCAACCTTTCTTTTGTGGTATTGAACCTTATGGTAAAATTTCATAGAGATCCATTCACTTAAACTAAAGTTAGAGTGCGAAAACCATTGTGTCTTCGGACGACGACGACAACGTCATACCAATATTCGACCGCAAAAATTTTTTGCGGTCGTATAAAAATTAATTTACACGGAAGAAGGCCCACAGCATAGGCAGATTTAAATATACCTGGACACAAGCACGCTGCACAGGCAGTGGATATCTATTTAGACAAACAGCACACTGCATATGAAGAAATGAAACTAACAAACAGCACTTCAAAGGTTGAAATGAATTTACTTAAGACTATAGTATACAGCACAGGCATTGGTCAACTTACATGAAAAACATCACACTTGACAGGCAGAAGTGAAACTAACTCGGAAAGAGACCTCACTTCACAAGCAAAAGAGGGCCTACATGGACACAAAGAAAATTGAACCTACATTGGCAGACGGCACATTGCATAGGGAGCCAACATGTTCAGATAGCAACCATCACTGGTATACATGACCCTATTTAGACAACTGCACACTCAACATGCAGCAGTGAATCTACCTGGTAGAATGTAGAACTAACAATGTAACCCTACTCAAGTGAATAACGAATACGTGTATAAATAAACTTTATTGTAAAGTAATAATTTCAAAAAGAGTTATAAATATTTCAAGAAAACAAAAACATAAAAGTTCCAGTGAAAGCATTCACAAGTGTATTATTTCAATACTTAAATATCTCATTGTCAAAAACAATGATATTTATAAAGTGCTCATACATTGACATTTCTTTTCCTGAACAAGTCTAATCCTAATGAACAATAAATTGCATACTTTTATTGCTACCATTGCAACTGTTGTTTCACTTGGGCAAAGGTATTCAACAGCTAATAGCTTCTCTTAAAAAGCTTCAGTTACAATATATTTAGAAATGACTGCATGTAAGAAAATTGGTTAACACATATTGAAATTGTTCATAATGTTTTAAATAGAGGTTTGTACATTGAAATTGAACACAAAATAAATAAAACAAATATTCACAAAAAAAAAAACATGATTATATATAAATACTTTATGAAATTTAAAGGTCATGTACTATGTGTGCTCTTTCAAATGGGAGATAACTTATGTCACATTCAAATGGGAGATAACTTATGACTCATTCAAATGGGAGATAACTTATGTCACATTTAAATGGTAGCCTGGGGTCCTGGTTAATCTGTCAGTATAGCCAGGCGTGTATCAATGTCCAGCCTGTCAATGATTGGTTAATACTAATTTTGTCGCGCAATGTTTGTTTTACATCTGTATCCAATCAATTTTTGTTTAACATCAATTAGTAAAAATTAGACTGTATTAATTTTTCTTTATGAATTGATGTACAGTGTTATCATATCTAATTATTAGTATGATGATAATTAGTGAGCAGAAAAGGGTTAATTCTTATCAGTAATCAACTGGTGAGAAAATTTAAAGTTTAAGATTTCACATGACCAAGGTGTGAATTGGATTTTACTTTTACGACCTAATTTACATGTACACATGTATCTCAAAGGGCAAAATATATATGGAAAAAAACATAAAAAGTAAAGGCCAACAAAAATTGCAGTTATTTTTTTTTTGGGAGAGGGGTTACATTTCAAATGATGTGTACATGTGCGAAGATACACCATCGTACATCTATTTTAAATTATAATTACATTAGACAATTACAATATTTATTAAATTTGATTTTTATAAATAAAGAGTTGTTTCGTTGAGTCTTACCCCATATAATCCTTCCTGATAAAATATATATTAAATGTACAACATTTTTCAAAGTTTCTTTTGATTACACATACTAGTATTTATTTATACTGTTTAATATATATTTATTTTATTATATTACTGACAATGGGGACTCGTCAATCTGAGAGCTAAATGTATTGAATCAGAAGCAATGTTTCTTAATCATTGGTTTGAAATCCCTGGTTTACATCAAACATCAAAATTTATGCAAATATTTATTCAGCCTCACTTTAGATTCAGAGTCAACTGGCACTGAATCGATCACGTGGTATTTGTTCCCCACCTGGCCCTTGCAACGTGCAGCTAGATCGGGCCGGGATGCCAGGCTAATTTAAATGGGAGATAACTTATTTTCAAAAATAAATGTTACAGAACTAAACACATTCATACTTCATCATATAAAACTAAACAACAAACATAAAATAATATTTCCCTTTTCACCTGCATATTGATTTTGTCATACATCATCCCTTTTATACACAATCAAAATGCTTTGTTAAATTTGTTAAACATTTGACAATGAATCTCAACACTTACATATTTTTTTTTAAACTAATCAAAAAGGAACATCATAAATGTCATATGTAAAATAATCTAATTTTACTGAATACATATGTATCTTCATTTTTCAATTAAAACTTTACTTTGATCTCAAATCCTTAAAATTGTTCCAAACATTTCCATATCTATTTGTGTGCATTACAATCTTCCAAAGTTTTGTCTTATTTAGACATCATTTCATCAGACCACAAAAATATGATCAATCTAAACTCTTATCCTTTCAATTAAACACAATTTTCAACCTATATCAAATTAATTTCCTTTTAATATGAAATTTATGTCTGATAATAAATTATTGATATGTACAGCACTGAAAACTGACTCATTGTTAGTTTTGTTCAATCTGCCAGTACTCAGGATAGTTCAGTCGCAGGTTCAATAATCATTTTGATTATAAATGTACAGAATACGGTTTTGATCACAAGCTTTGTACTCTTGGATCTTTTGGAAAACTGACTGGTTGTACTCCTGCTACTTCTAACAGTTTGTTGATGGGTGTATGACTCGTGGAATTTTTGTCCACATGTGAATAATGCAACTCATTCCCTGAAAAATAAGAAATACACTAGTTAAACAAAAGAAGCACGGTAGATAATTTTCAACTTTAAATGGTGATGCAAAAATAATAAAATATATAAAAAGAATCTGTGTCCATAAGACACCATGCATAGTTTGCACTATACTACCATGTTCAATGGACTGTAATGACTTAATTTGTCAACATATAAAGTATGACCATCCAACAAAAAAGGTGTACCTTTCAGTTTTTTATCCAATGGGATTTGAACCTATAACCTTCTAAATTTGAACCCCTGCTACAGAAGGAAATTATGATTACCTGGTCCAACAACTAAGGCACCACCCTGCTGCTGAACATTTCCTTGGAATTCTTGATATTTCATTGATCTCCATATACTTCTCATAACTCCCATGAACATATTCTGTTTGACATGTCTACTATCTGTAAGTAAAATTTAAAATGTTATAACTTCTAATATATAAATACATTAACATTTAAAAATAAATAAAAATTAGAATGACACAGTGGCGGATCCAGGGGGGGTTCCGGGGGTTGGAACCCCCCCCCCTTTTTTTTTACGATCAATGCATTTGAATGGGGACATATAGTTGGAACCCCCCTTTATCCTGGGTTAGGAACCCCCCCCCCCCCCCTTTTATAAATGACTGAATCCGCCCCTGTGACAGATTACCGGTATTGTAATAAGAGACTAAGAATCTAATTTTTTATTCTGTATCAAAATCAAAGTATAATATTGTATGGAAAAGGTGGCCTTCGTTTTTTTTTTTTTAATTTTTCAAAAACAAATTTGAGAATAAAGATTTATTTTGTATGGCCTAATGTGTTGAAACATAAGACCATCAATCAAAAATCAGCAATATGCCAACCAATATCATTCTCGTGTTGAAAGGTATTATTCAATGGTAGGTTGACTTTTATTTTCAAATTTGAACTGAATGAGCTTGTTTCACCAAGTAGTTTTTACGTAATAGTAACAGGACTAACTTTGAAATTAGAAACAATAACCATGATAACCAATAAAATTGCATTTAAAAATTTACACACCTGAGCTTCCATGTTCCAAGTGTTCTTTCAAGCCTAATGCTTTATAAAGCTCTCTTTCTGGGTCTGTATATAATGTGGACTGAAATCCAGTCAACTTCTTAAAATCCTGAAATAAACAAAACATTTCTTGCAATGCATAAAAACCAACATTAAGTCTGAATGCATGAAAATATTCCTTGGTTTGATCCAATTCAGCTTTACAATATCATCAGTCGTACTATTTACATGATTATTCATATTGTGAGTCTTCTCTCACCTCTCCCACAATCACCCTTTCAATCCAAAATGAAATTTATTTATAATCAAACAGGATATTAAATTGCCTCTATATCGCTGAAACTGTAAATTAATGTAGCTTTACAATTTTTGTCAGTGTTAAATATTACATGCACCTTTGGACCCTGAAGTTAAATGTAACAAATACCTTTGTTCTCTGGTCAACATTTCAGCAATGCAAATGTGACCAGGAAGAAATCATGTTCGGTGCATCTGATGCAATATCTCAGGTTGTTAGGTTTTTTTTTATATAAAATTCAAACCTTTAACCTCAGTGTAATAGTCCAATAACTGACAGGAAATTATCTGTATTTATTCCACAATTAAAATTCACTTACATTAACAAAACAAGTACTTGGATGGAGAGTTGTCTCATTGGCACTCATACCACATCTTCCTATATCTATGTATAACTTTTTTTTATAAATACATTAAGTGTTGTGTAAAATACACCAAACTTGTAGTGTTTTATAGTGACTTTCATGCAGTTTTGTGTAGAGCAGAACGAGATGACACAGAAACAAAGGTTTTTATATTATATCATACATTATAAACACACTTACTTTTATAAACTTAAAAGGTGCAGGCCCAATCACAACAAGTCGTACATCTGCTTCCTATAATAGAAAACTACTAGTTACATTTAGTTTGTAAAAGAATTAGTACATGAGATTAATGACTAGATGCATAACTTACAGTAGCATGAGTAAGTAGGAAGACAACACTTTTATCAAGTATGTAATATTTTCATATACCCTGATTTGTACTAGACCCACACAAATAATTGTACTGTATTGTAACATTTCACAGGTAAACATGTCACTCTACCTTCACACAAAAAGTTTATTATAGCAAATAAGTCTCTAATAACACTTAAATAGATATAAGAAGATGTGGTATGAGTGACAATGAGACAACTCTCCATCCAAGTCACAATTTGTAAAAGTAAACCATTATAGGTCAAAGTACGGCCTTAAACACAGAGCCTTGGCTCACACCGAACAGCAAGCTATAAAGGGCAAAAAAAATGACTACTGTAAAACCATTCAAACAGGAAAACCAATGGTCTACTCTATATAAATAAACTGTTAAAACAGAGATTTGTCTCGCCTATTTGTTATTTTGATAATGCAAATGTTGTAATTAAAATAGCAATACTTTAACATGTAAGTTATGCAAATATTCAAAGTCAATGAACCATGGCTGAAGGTACAGGGCTAAACAATCTCAATGGAAATGAGATGTCCCAATGCTAATACAACTGCAAACCAAATACAATTGACTTTTCATAAGTCGTTCCCTTTAAACAAACCTAAACACAAACATTAACTTGTAAACTATGTAAAAGTTTCAAAGTCAATGAACCATAATTAGGGGGTGGGGTTATAAAATCTCCATGGAAATAAAACTTGCAAATGCCAATACATTTGCATACCGAATATCATTGACTTAACATTAGTGGTTCATCTTAAACTGACCTAATCACAAACTTATACATGTAAACTAAGCAAAAGTTTCAAAGTCAATCGACTATGACTGAGGGGTAAGGACCAAATATTCTCCATGGAAATGAGATGTGCTAATGCTTATACAACTGCATACCAAATATCATTGACCTACCACCAGTGGTTCCCCATAAACTGACCTAATCACAAACTAATACATGTAAACTAAGCAAAGTTTCAAAGTCAATAGACCTTAACTGAGGGGGCGGGGCCAAATAATCTCCATGGTAATGAGATGTGCCAATGCTAATACAACTGCATACCAAATATCATTGACCTACCACTAGTGGTTCACCATGAACTAGACCTAATCACAAACTAATACATTGTTGACGCTGCCGCCGGAAACAGCATACCTATGTCTCGCTTTTTGACTCCGTCAAGGTGAGACAAAAAACGAGAAACACTTATGAACCACAACAACAAACAACAACCAATGAACATCAGGTTCCTGACTTAGGACAGGTGCAAACAAATGCAGTGGGTTTAAACGTTTTAATAAGCGCCAACCTTCACCCTACCTGAAACAATAGTGTAACATCACAACATAGAAAGACACACTATGAAATATCATTTGAAATGGCTTAACTCAAATGCCCAATACACCTTATCGCTATTTGTCCGCCATTACTGGACATCACACAAGTTCCCGTAAAATTTAGACGTCATAATAGAAAATATCTGACGCCACAATGGAAAAGTGATTGTTGTATGACGTCAAAAGTTCGAGCGGGACTGATTCTCGGGTCAAGCGGGATTAGCGATAAGGTGTATTGTCACATGTAACAGAAAAGTTAATTTTTTTGGTTTGGTTGACCTGGCATTGAATCCTTCACTCTAGGCAAGCATGCTTTCAAAAGCCAATGAGGCATTTCATTTTTTTTACAAATTCAAGCTTATGGTGTAGTGTTAAATACTACTTAAGGATGTAGTCTTCTGATGTTTCAGTCTCGTTGAAATCTCGTTTGGGAATTATTTCCAAAATATGTGATACAATTGAAAAATATTAATGACTTTAAAAGTTATTATAATTAACCTAAACTCTGTGAAAAAATTGTGTACTTACAATTAGTAGTTTTTGAGTTATGAAATTTAAAAATTTTATAACCAATCCGGTCAGTGTCATCAGCAAAATTGTTGAGAAAATGGGTGATGGGTACAAAGAAATGATTTTACCAAAAATATGTACATTCTTTATCAATTTTTTTCTTTTCAAAATTCTTATATATGTATTTTTTCAATCATTTATAACAAAGAAGTTGAAATAATATGCTTTTTGTTCTAAAAAAAAGAAGAGAAAAATCCCAAATTGACAAAATTGACAGCATGGTCAATTTGACACGAAAAAGCAACAAATTTTATAAAACTTTCTAATATTAACACCAACCTATAGGTTTTTTAAATCAAATTTATTCAGATTGGTCCACTTCATCTTTAGTGAAAGTATGAAAAAAGTTTATAATTGTGAAACTGGGATTTTTTTATGATAATAGCCCAAAAATGGGTAAAAATTGATGAAAAATGTGAAATCCTTAAAATGGGGTACTTTCAAAGGCCGTAGCAAAAAAAGAAGTACACCACCATATGATTTTTTCTTCATCAATTACTTTCTTACAGTCATATAAACCCAAAAATCAGGTTAAGAAAAAAAGTTTATTCAAGAAACTTTGGCTCCTCAGAGGTGTACATCCTTAAGTTATTAACTTAACCATTTATACTTTGCATTCCTTCCATAAATAAAAACATTGCAATAATGGATGATAGACAATTTACAGTATTCATGGCTATCAAATACTTCATTGAAAAATATCATGTACATGTAAAATAAAAGAAAAATTTCATGTCTACATATATGAAATTAGACATAAAAATTCCCAGATAGTGTGTCAGACATTTATTCACACAGTTTGTAAGAATACCTGATCCAAGAGATAATCTGTCTGACAAATCATGTAATCACTTCTGATCTGTCATTCATCAAACAAAACACCTAGCAAAACCCGTCTGACTGACTCAAAATTTAGCTGGACATGTCAGACTGATCATAGACTTCTGAATATAACATTTAATTTAGTCTGTTACTAAATATGACCATGAAAATTGATTAAAAGCTATCAAACTGTTGCTTTTAATGCAACTAACAGAAAATGTTCACCTCCTTGCCCTGAGGGCAAAAATTCTTTTTACTGGTCTGACATGCTTGTGTGTCAACAGCTTTTATTTTTGTGAAGACTATTAAAGGCACTGAATTGCTTCAGTATTGTTCAACTTTTGTATAGTGTATTAAACACTAACACCCTTTTGTGGAGCCGACCAACTGAATCAAAAAATAATATGCTCAATAAGTTAGGAACAAAAATGTAAATAATAGTTAGACATACCTGAAGGTACTCAAAAGGAACTAATGCCAGATCTGAAAAAGAATATACATAAAAATTAATATCGGTTGATCAAGAAATTTTATATGACATTTTGTGAATTTCTTGTGTCAGGACTGCTCATATTGTTTCACCTGTGTCACAGGTAAAAACAAAATATTTTTAAATGTAGATTTTTATTTGGGAAGTAAAACTTTAACAATCTGTATATGATGTATTGCAGTTACAGTGATAAAGATACATGTCCTTTTTAGTTATGTTAAGTCGTAAGATTGCTGTCACCTCTTTTAAATTGTATTATAAATTTAAATGACTCTACAACAGTTTAAGTGACGCCACCAAAATTCCAATTTGATCTGTGTTTTGTGGTAATAAGCATTGTTTATAAGTTTCATAACATTTGGTTGAGGCAAACTAAAGTTAGAGAACGGAAACGAAAAATTCAGCAATTTTTCCATTTGTAAAGGGCATAACTCTACAACGGTTTAAGTGATGCCACCGAAATTCCACTTTGATCTGGGTTTTGTGGTAATAAGCATTGTGTATAAGATTCATAACATTTGGTTGAGGCAGACTAAAGTTAGAGAACGGAAACCAACTTTGGGACGGATGGACATTTATATATAGGCGGGGGCATAAAAAGAAGTCACTAATGTGAATGTAATCCTAAATATTATCAGTCTGTACAGCAGTTTTTCATCAACTAGTGATATCAAAATAGATGCATAAAAAGTGTTGTACAATACCACTACTTGCCTTCTACATAATCTTTACATACAAAACACAGGAAATGCTGAAAAGAAAAGAAGTGATATATTATAATAAAGTAGGGCAACTTAACCATAATTTTAGTTTGACACTTTAACTTTTATATTTGGTCATGTTAGAATGTTTGTGTACTTCTATCAAATTTTTAATGAATATGATATCTTATGGTTAGCAAGGTCATTTATGCTTCATCAGCAGATTTTAACAGGAGTGACAAATGTGGTGTCACAGTTTTACTAGCTCAGCTACACATATCTTAATCTCTGGAGACCATTTAAAACCTCTTACATACTTCTTTTTGTACATCTTATATCAATATATTTATTCTTGAAATTCTACCATTATATTTAACCTTTAATCAATAAACCCAGGTTAAAATAAAATAAATTAATTACAGCTACTAAGTCTACATACAGTAATTCTCAAAAACAGACCAAAAATTGTTTTTGTTCACAAGCTGAAATGTCATGCATCACATTTGCAACAGATTATGTATTGTAACATTTAAGGGTCATGTAAATCCCCTTATTCTATTTTGAGTTTTATTAATCTTGATGGTGTCCTGGACTTTTTATGGGGACAATTTTTATCATGCAATTAATTTCATATTGCTTTACCAGAAATAGGCAACCAGGTCATTAACAAAATGAACAAAAAAACAATGGTTAACATTGTTTATGAACTTATATATTGGTGAAAAGCTTTCAAATAAAACCAAAAGTTAGACCCCATTTACACTTGTAAAAAAGATCGATCTTTCCTGATCAATGTCTAATGTAAACGGGAAAGATCAATCTTCAATCGGACTTTAAAAAGTCCACCTCCAGAGGTGGTTTTAAAAAGATCGATCTTATTTGAATCGATCTTTCTTCAAATTTAGGGGCCTCGGTGGCCGAGTGGTCTAAGTAGTTACTACTGTAATCACTAGCCAGTCAACACTGAGGTTGTGAGTTCGAACCCCGCTCATGCGGGTGCACTCGACTCCAATCTTAATTGACTAGGATTGTCAGTTTTCCTATCGAAGGTTGGTGGTTTTCTCCGGACACTCCAGCTTCCTCCACCAATAAAAACTGGCTGCCACAAAATAGCCCAAAAGCGGTGCTTAAAAGTGTCGTTAAAACATCAAAAATCAAAAAATCAAATCTTCAAATTTAAAGGCATAGATTGATTGTGATTGATCTTTCTTCAAGTGAATGTTATATTTAGATATGAAAATAAATCTATGCATGTTCTGCAGCAAAAACACATGTGTTTAAAAATGATGGATGGGATAAGAACAGTAAATATAGATTCCACCGTTTTTGTATCATTCTTCTGAATGAATAAATTCTATTTCTTTGCTGCAAATCCTCATCTTCAAACGCATCAATTGACCTTTCATTTTTGAAGTGATAGTCTTCTCACATTTATTTGCAGGGGTTAAAAAAATTTGTTACAGGTAACTAGCCCAGGACTTATTTGCAGCAGGATTTTACTAGCCCTGTTGGAAGAACTGCTAGCCCATCAAACTGACCTGCTAGCCCGAGAATGCCTTACAAATCAGAGTTTGCTGCATAATTATAAAGTGTGTGTCCCTTGTTTTGAAGGCGGCATTATACACTGTATTTAATAATTTTTGTTGACCTGCTTTTTACTCTGTTGGTAAACTATCCTAACTTAGTTGTTCCCACATCCAAAGCAGACTTTTTATTCGCGTGCTCGGGAAAATAACGGCAATATTCTCTGTTTTTTTTCATCAGCAACACTGCTTACCTTGCCCAGGGGAATCTTTCTTTCCGGTACACTATAAATTTTCCTTTCCGATTTTCCTGGTCGTATTTGACATTTTTGGGGGATATTACCCCCTTCATCTACAGTTTTTTGTTTTAAAAACTGACGAAGTTCCTGGGGTGCCCGTACTTAAATATTTAGAAATAATTGGTTGCATGGATTGGTTTCGTGCTCAACAGCTGTCCGACAAGACAGGTCAATACCAATCAATGTACTGAGAAATCGATATTTACATATAGTACGAGAATTGCAATCAATACATGATACTGGGCCACCCAGAGTTATTTGTTCTAATTTTAAAATATGTACAACAGGACCTGTACAAACCAGTTCAAATTCTTGGAATCCCGGATGACATAATTGAATCTGATTGGCTAAGATAGAATAGTGATGAAGGGATTTTCCACTTTCTATTTTGGAAACGCCAAGAATTTTTTGTTACTAGTCCGTCGGGCATATTGGGTTAAAAATTTTGATTGTCCGAGGCTTAATTGCTCTAGTCCCGGGCGTCAGGCTAGTGGATTTTTTAACCCCTGATTTGTTTAATGACTTAAGTCGTGCGAACCAAAAAGTTAATTAATAACTGCATACGAAATTACAATGATCCAACTATTTTCTCCATGATTTTGCAGTTTGTGATTGTCCATACGAGATGCACACGTTATCATACTATTCTATTTTTACGATTATTTGTTTACGAAATGCAACATTATCAGGTCAGACGGGTTTGTTTTATGTTGCAGTGTTATCACACTAAATCAAATAAGACCAATCTCGATCGATCTTGCTTGTGCAAATGTTAAACGCAAACTGGTCTTTTTAAGAACGATTCATAGATTCAAATAAAGATCAGTTCCATTTCGTACAAGTGTAAACAGGGTCTTAATAGCTAAAACAGATGGGTGCTAGGTGTCAGTCATAAAACAGCAAACATTTGACCTCAAGATTGACAGGTTTAAGCTAGAACATTGCTTGGATGAAATTCCAGTTTGCCTGGCATTGTAGGAAACAATTTTTGAGTAAATATTTTCCTATAGAGTTTTTCACCACAACAGAAATGAGTAATAGTTATTAAAGCCAAATAGATGTATTACAAATGTTACTGTGGATTCATTTATTTTCGTGGGTATCAATTTTCATGGATAGAGAAAAAAAAGACGTTTCGTGGTATACGTAAATTCGTTGATCGCAGATCACAAAAAAAAAAAAAATTCAGATTTGTAATTCGTGGATTTATTTTTGATTTAGGAGATCATATAACCTCCTTAGTTTGATCAATAATAAAACAAACAAAAAAGAAGGAATTCATTGAAAAAGTTTTGAATTGTCAAAATCCTCGCTTGGTCATTCTAGGTTAAAGTGTTCATTGAAAACTTCTATTACAATAATGGACAGAGACAACTAATTATTTGTTTGTTTTACAATTTATAAATTCTTGTTGGAATTTTATAATGCATTCAAAGCTCTATGATTGAAATCTCATTTCCCTAATCAAGATATAATAAACAGTCGTATAAGTAAAAGGTGTGAAAATAAATGTTCCTGTCATAATCAATATTACATTTTGTACCTACGGGCAATATCCCCGTACTTAATCCTATTGATTTTTAATCACCAGTAAACCAAACTATGACACGGTAATTAACAACTTGCAGTTATTTTCCATGAACAGTTTTAATCAATTTTAAAAAGTAAATTATCACTGATATTCGATATATTTATTACTGATTTAATCAAAATACTTGTATCTTCTTTCAATAAAAACATGTGTTATGTTACAATGTTTATCGCCAGTCAACACTATACTAGAACTGCATAACATAACCGGAAATAAACATCCGGCTCCATACACATTTCTCTGGATTATTCTTCGTTGAATTCTTAAATTCGTGGTTCGCTGTGACCCACGAAACCCACGAAAATAGTTATACCATGAATAAAAATGAATCCACAGTATGTGATTTATGCTACAGAAAAAGCTGAAATGTGAAATTTGATGTACTGTTAATTCAGAAATTATTGCATTGTTTTTAACAATTCAAAATTTTTATAGTATGTGGTCCATAATAATAAAATCTTGCATACGATCTCCGACTCATAATTTCAGCAGTGAATTCTCTTATTTTTGCAATTGAATTACTTAGATCTCACGTTTTTACCAGTATTTGGTGATTCGCAAAATAAAAATGAACGATTTAATTTCAAAATTTACAGTATTATTTCATTCTTTCTCATGTTTCTGCATGTTCTGGACTATTTGTTTAAAAGATTAGGGAATTTTTAAATAGCACTTTTTCAAGAGGAAAAAAGTACATCAAATTATGTTTACCCTTGTAAAAACAATGATTGTTTTTTGTTTCTTGTAAATATCTCCAAAACGTATTTTGTTGCCCATTTCATCAAATACAATCATATCTTGAATCTTCTCGAAGTCCACTTCCATTTTCGGCTCATCTGGTTTATCTGTTCTAGTTATTTTAAGGTCGTCGACTCCTTTAATTTCTTCTGGAGCATTTAATTCTTCTTTGGTTGTCATGTTGTTGACCACTTTTAATTCAAATCGTTTCTCGCAAAAGGGTTCGTCTGGGCTAGCATGTGCCTGTTTTCTTTCGTCGACGTCATTTAAGAACCATCTTATTAGTTAAGAATTACGTTCTTTTTAAGCGCAATGACGACTAAGATTGAATTTAACCGGTAAAGGTGAAGGTTGTAATCAGTCACCATGGAGAAAAGTAAACCGTTCAAAAACACTAGTTTTTTGGCGGGGAAATACAAAAATTAATAAAAATGTTTTTTTTTTATCAAAACTTAATTTTTGTTGAAAAATTTGGTTTTAGCAATTAAGCAAACAAATTAAAATATAGACCTCTGATTTCGTTATCCTCATATGAGGCTTATATATAATCCTCGTGTGATGTGTTTTCAAATAACAATTTTCACTGCTTACGGTTTTCACTGTTGAATTTTTATTCACGTGTGTACTCAAATTTTAAAAGCATGTTCTGTCGAATGTTTTTAGGTATCTAGATTTTTTGTCAAGGCTTACTATGATTTTTTACTGTACCCGATTACTTTCCGATTTTCGTATGTCAAACAAGAGGTTCTCAAGAGCCTGAATCGCTCACCTGTATTTCAGAGGAGAAGATTTTTAAATGTTAGCAAATTTGATGAACAAATTGTGTAAAATTGTCTTTAAAGGGCAATAACTACTTAAGGGGTCAATTGACAATTTTGGTCATATTAACTTTTTTGTAGATCTTACTTTGCTGAACATTATTGCTGCTTACAGTTTATATATATCTATAATAATATTCAAAATAATAACAAAAAACTGCAAAATTTTGTTAAAACTACCAATTCGGTGGCAGCAACCCAACAATGGGATGTTTGATTCGTCTGATAATTTCAGGGCCGATAGATCTTGATCAATAAAACAATTTTACCCCATGTCACATTTGCTTTAAAAAAATTAGTTTTTGAGATATAAGCCAAAAACTGCATTTGACCCTTATGTTCTATTTTTAGCCATTGCGGCCATGTTTGTCGTTGGATACAAACTTCGGATACAATTTATAAACAAGATACCCTTAGGAACATTTAGTTAAAGTTTGAAAGTAATTGGCCCAATAGTTTCAGAGGAGAAGATTTTTAAATGTTAGCAAACTTGATGAACAAATTGTGTAAACTTGTCTTTAAAGGGCAATAACTCCTTAAGGGGGTCAATTGACAATTATGGACACATTAACTTTTTTGTAGATCTTACTTTGCTGAACATTATTGCTGCTTACAGTTTATATATATCTATAATAATATTCAAAATAATAACAAAAAAACTGCAAATTTTTTTTAAAACTACCAATTCGGTGGCAGCAACCCAACAATGGGTTGTTCGATTCGTCTGAAAATTTCAGGGCCGATAGATCTTGACCAATTAAACAATTTTACCCCGTCACATTTGCTCTAAAAGATTTAGTTTTTGAGATATAAGCCAAAAACTGCATTTGACCCTTATGTTCTATTTTTAGCCATGGCGGCCATGTTTGTCGATGGATCAAAACTTCGGATACAATTTATAAACTAGATACCGTAAGGAACATTTAGTTAAAGTTTGAAGGTATTTGGCCCAGTAGTTTCAGAGGAGAAGATTTTTTAAATAGTTTACGACGACAGACGACGACAGACGACGGACGACGACGGACGCCAAGTTTGGTGCAAATCCAGGATAGTTCAAGAAAGTTATTAAAATTTTAAAAACTTTAACCACAGAGTGAATGTTATGTTAACTGGCAGAAAAACTAAGTCCATTTATAAGTAAAATACGGAAAAACAGGATTTTTTTTTTTACAAAATTTACTTCTGGATACTGTCTTATGATCATAAACAAGCCTCTGTCCAAGTTTGGTAGAAATCCAGGATAGTTTAAGAAAGTTATTAACATTTCAAAAACTTTAACCACAGAGTGAATATTTGTGGACGACGCCGACGGAATGTAGGATCGCTATGTCTCGCTTTTTCAACAAAAGTCGAAGGCTCGACAAAAACAAGTTGGCCAGTAGAGAAGAGCAGTTGGTTCCCATAGGAATGCTGATTGTCTGTTTACTTCAAATGTAATAAATAAGTTGTTGGCATGATACGGGTTATGTTCTTCTCATATATTTTATGATGGTATGATACTAAACCCCTAACATGAGGGATTGTACTTGATTTTCATATGATGAAGACATAATCTTTCAATCAGTTTAATTGAGATCTGGAGCTGGCATGTCAGTAACTGCTAGTAGTCCTTTGTTCATTTACCAGTATGTATCATTGTCATTTTGCTTAGTTTCTTTTGTTACCTATTCTGACATCGGACTCAGACTTCTTTTAAACTGAGTTTTACTGTGCGTATTGCTATGTGTTTTTTTATTCTACATTGGCTAGAGGTATAGGGGGTCTCAGGGTTGAGATCTCACAAAACATGTTTAACCCCGCCGCATTTTTGCGCCTGTCCAAAGTCAGGAGCCTCTGGCCTTTGTTAGTCTTGTATGTTTAATTTTAGTTCATTCATATGTTTTGGAGTTTAGCGTGACGTCTATTTTCACTGAACTAGACTACACAATTTTATTTAGGTGCGGGATTTTCTCGCTGCGTTGAAGACCCATTGGTGGCCTTCGGCTGTTGTCTGCTCTTTGGTCCGGTTGTTGTCTCTTTGACATATTCCCCATTTCCATTCCCAAATTTATTGTCAATAAAAAAAAACAATCCTCTTGATTCTACCGGTTTTGAATACATATAAATCTAATATTCATACTGCAACTAGAACACTTCCTGTTGTCATTATCTACCAAATATAGTAACAAACTGATTTCATATCGTGTCAGGATTCTTCGCAATTTGGGGTTTGTTCAGGGATCGATGGAAAATACGTTTTATTTTTGTGTTAACATCTTCATGACTAATTGTAGCCATTTTAAGCTGCACTATAAAAACGAAATACATATCATTACCATGATTTTGGTGAAACAGATAAAAAAAGTTTTAAGCAGACTCAATCAGTAAGTCAGTAAGGCAACCAGAGGCTCTAAAGAGCCTGTGTTGCTCACTCCGATCTATGTGCATTTTCAACAATGGCCACTCTCCAACATTAAGACTAGTCTAGAACATGTAGAATCAGAGACATATAATACAATTGTATTATATGTCTCTGGTAGAATGTAGTTCATGGCTAAGATCTTTTGTTTGTTGATCTTGTTTTGTGTTTTCAATTTGATCTTGTTTTGTGTTTTCAATTTCTCACTATCTACTATGGTTATTTGCCCCAAATACAAAAAGCAAGTTAAAATCTTTATCTACCAAATATAGTAACAAACTATAGTAAGGGCAATAACTTTTATAAGAAGTGGGCTTATAATTTTGACTTTGTTAAAATTGCGAATGGAAATGGGGAATGTGTCAAAGAGACAACAACCCGACAAAAGAGCAGAAAACAGCCGAATGCCACCAATTGGTCTTCAACACAGCGAGAAAATCCCGCACCTATTTGTAGATCTGTCTTGCTGATTAATTTTGGTATTTACACTTTCTGTTCATCTAGCTTCTGTAGTTTTTGCCAAACACACACAAAGGGTAATAACTTATAAAATGGAATAACTGACAATTTCAGCAATGTTTGACTCATTTTTAGATCTAGTCTTGCTCATCATTTTTGCTGATATCTGCTCTTGTTTTGGCAAAACATGTATGAGCACAAGATTAATAAACTGTTATCACAGAGATATGTCTCGCCTTTTTGTAATTTTGATAATGCAAATGTTGAACTTAAAATAGCAATACTTTAACATGTAAGTTATGGAAATATTCAAAGTCGATGAACCATGACTGAAGGTACATGGCTAAACAATCTCCATGGAATGAGATTTGCCAATGCTAATACAACTGCATACCAAATAATATGGAAAGCCTCAGCTGTCATATATTAGAGATTTACAAAACGTTATGCTGAAGCTTAAAATGTAAAGTTAAGACAGCGTGATGTTGAATTGAGTCATCAAAATGCTAACTCTAAATTACAATATGCTAAGTTGAATTTGCGCAATGTTGACTTGCAATGACAAGCGCTTTAGTCGTGATAGTATAATGATAAGTCACGATGTTGTGATGATATGCCAAACACACGTAACGTTGGGTTTAAAGTTCATTATCACTGAACTAGTATATATATTTGTTTAGGGGCCAGCTGAAGGACGCCTCCGGGTGCGGGAATTTCTCGCTGCATTGAAGACCTGTTGGTGGCCTTCTGCTGTTGTCTGTTCTGTGGTCGGGTTGTTGTCTCTTTGACACATTCCCCATTTCCATTCTCAATTTTATGATGTGAAGTTGACGTTGCATGATGTTAGCTTGCAGATGGATACTGCTCAGTCGTCCACTTCGATAGCTATGATAACAAATAAAATGAATAGCTAAAATGTATGGTGCTGACTTGTAATTAATAAATGTTGAGCTGAGATAGTACGATGTTATAATATCATTGTGATATTACGATAGGTCTATCATACAATCTGTTGATTTAAAACACCATGATGCACAGTTGAAAGTATATGATGTTAAGTTAAGATAACATGATGCTACACCACTATATTGAAACGAAAGGCTTACCATACAATTTGTTGACTTAAAACAACACGATACAACGTGTTAAGCTAAGATGCTCACTTGAAACTACACGACATACAGTTGAAATTTTGTAATGTTAAGCTACGATAGCACGATGTTATATCATTATAATGTCACAATAGGCTTATTATACAATTTGCTCATTTAAAATTACACCTCGTACAGCTGAAAGTACGTGATGTTAAGCTAAGATAGAACGTTGTTATATCATAAGAATTTCACGATAGGCTTACCACACGATATGCTCATTTAAAACTACATGATTTTCAGCTGAAACTAAGTGATGTTAAGCTAAGATAGCATGTTGTTATATCATTAGAATGTCATGATAGGCTAACCACACGATATGCTCGTTTAAAACTACACGACGTACAGTTGAAAGTACTTGATGTTGAGCTGTGATAGCAATATCTTATATCATAATAATATCACGATAGGCTTGCCATACAATATGCTCATTTAAAACTACACGACGTACAGTCGAAAGT